GTTGTCTCAAAGAATGCTCTTCCTCTCTGAAGTATTTCCTGTTTCGGTGTCAGCGCAGAGACTCGAACTCAAGTGCGACCTCTGACCCGGACATGACTCATGCTATTAATGTCCAAGTCAATAAAATGTGCCATATTTTTAAGATCCTATTATACGCAAAATTGACTCGTGAGGTTTAAATTCTGTATCAAAAACTGACCTGAAGTTGTAGCAGTTTACAGATGAGCAATTCCAGATCTGAAATCATCCAAATCATTCTAGTTTACGCGTCATTAAGCATTTAACGTAAAAAAAACCGAACAATATGGGTGAACAGGAAGTGGCTCATATAGTGAGTGACTGCAGCTCTTTGAACCCGACAAGTCAGAGGTCAGAGGTCGTCAGCTGTGATGGAGGTTAAACTTGAAACGCTGAAGTAAGGATTCTCTTTAAATAAATCTCTGTGAGGTCTGATGAAGAGAGAGAGAGAGAGGAGGGAGTGAAAGAGAAAAGAGGGAGTGAAAGAGAGAGAGAGAGAGAGAGAGAAAGGAGTGAAAGACAGAGAGAGAGGAGGGAGTGAAAGAGAGAAGAGGGAGTGAAAGAGAGAGGGAGAGAGAGAGAGAAGGGAGTGAAAGACAGAGAGAGAGGAGGGAGTGAAAGAGAGAGAGGGAGAGAGAGGAGGGAGTGAAAGACATGGAGAGACAGAGGAGGGAGTGAAAGAGAGAGAGAGGAAGAGGGAGAAGAAGGAGTGAAGGAGGGAGAGGGTGAGATAGAGGGAGAGGGAGGTGGGAGAGCGAAGGAGGGTGGGAGAGAGTGGAAAAGGGAGGAAGGGGAGTGAAGGAGGGAGAGAGAGAGGAGGGAGTGAAAGAGAGGGAGAGATGAGGGAGTGAAAGAGAGAGGAGGGCGTGAAAGACATGGAGAGACAGGAGGGAGTGAAGGAGGGAGAGGGAGAGAGGAAGAGGGAGAAGAAGGAGTGAAGGAGGGAGAGGGTGAGATAGAGGGAGAGGGAGGCGGGAGAGCGAAGGAGGGTGAGAGAGAGCGGAAAAGGGAGGAAGGGGAGAGAAGGAGGGAGAGAGAGAGAAGAGGGAGGGAAGGAGGGAGAGAGAGAGGAATAGAGGAATAGAGAGAGGTGGGAGTAAAGGAAGAAGAGAGAGAGAAGAGGGAGGGAAGGAGGGAGAGAGAGAGAGAAGGAAAGAAAGATAGAAAAAAGGAGAGTGCTTAGATGAGAATAAATGTATCCAGGCCTAATTTGACAGAAAACCAAACATTACCCATGAGTTTTTGTTTGTTTGTTTGTTTGTTTGTTTGTTTGCTAGTTTGCAGGCAGCCCATGTTTGTGTTTGTGTTTAGAATGCCAGGAGCACAGAGGGAGAGAGAGAAAGCAAAAGAGGAGAGAGGGAGGAAAGAGGAGGGAGAGGAGAAAGTGTGCTGTGGTGACGTGGTTTGTGTCTGGTCTGAATTAGAGACAGAGCAAAGAGCTGAGTCATACACACAAAAAAGAAGAAAGAGAAAGTTTGTGTTTTTTTGGTTACTATGCAACTGTCATTTTTATATTTTAATCACGTCATGTTCTAGGGCTGCACTTTTTTTTGTTTTGTTTTTTACGAGTAGCTTTGCAGTATACGTTCAGGATTATAAACAAACTCCAGGAGCATTCACATTTGAGAGAGACTGAAAGGACATCTGACACACAGGGAGGGCATCTGACACACACTTCAGAACATGTTTAAACAGGTACAACAGCATTTTTCAATCAAATACTTCGCTCTTTGCCGAGGACATTCAGTTGTCTAAATAATTGGAACCTTCGTGATTTAAGAAGAATTGTGACTGTTTTTTTATTTTTCTGCAGATAAATTGTTGCAGATTAAGTAGCTAATTATATAGTTTTTCCATTGCTTTTGTTGTGTCGTTTGCATACTAAAAAACACATTTCTGAATTGGATCTAAATTAAGACCGCTATATATGATATGACAATAACAGTACATTTTTTTGCTCATATTGATTTTTCTCGATTTCTGATTCGATTTTATTTTGTATTACTAAAAACAAGCAAAATGTTTTTCAGTATTAATGTCTGAACAAAAAAATACAGACTTTTAGCCCTAAACCAGGAATCTAATCTGATCCCCGCCAACAGTAAAGAGGAGCATAAATTGTCATCTTTTTAGTTAAAATACCCAGAACCGGGTTTGCAAATGATCATAAATCAAAAATAATGCAGTGACAGAAGTAGCGCTACTCGATTATGGAAAAAAATAATTATCACGAGTATTTTATCAATACGATTATTCGAATGATTTTTTAGATAGACGATGCATTTATTCAGCATTTCTCTCTCAAAAAAACCCCCCTAACACTTGTTATTGATAATTTACACAAAACTTTCAAATTGAAAATAAATATAGGCTACAAATATGAACTTTAGAGCAGTTTTGTGACGTATAAAACATAAAATGAATAAAATATACTTTGAACATGAAGGCAGAAAAACATAAATGTATCCAAAATAAAGGCGAGGAGAAAATTCAGTTTGTCGACTGGACAAAAGTTAGTTTGGTAAAAGATGCTTCGCAGCTCATCCAAGCTGCTTCTTCAGAACTGAAGAACTAACTTTTGTCCAGTCGTCAAACTGAATTTTCTCCGTGCCATGGATTCTACCTGGACGACTGAGGTTTTCTTCACATATCCAAAATAAACTATATATCCAGCTTTTCTACAATCTCTAAATAAAAAAATATAAAAAAATATATATATATATACTTATTTATATATATTAAAAAAATCTCAAATAAATTTTGCTAAGCTTCAATAGTTTCAAATCGATTAAATGAGTTTGAAGGTTGTTTCACACACAAATCAAATCGTGAAATCAAAATTCAGCTAATTGCACAACCTTAAACAGAAGTCCCTGACATTACTTTCACTATTTTATTTATACCAAACATCCCAACCCGAGTGTGTCCCAGTTTTGAATTTTGAAAATCTGCTCACCCTAGGTACACCTCTGGAACTAAACATTGACCTAATTTTGTAACTCTGAACCTGCAAATGAATGGAAAACCATTTTGCTCACAGGTGCGCTCCTGCCCGGGCTCTCCTGTCTGCTCCTCCTGTTGAAGGCTTGATAAATTAGCATTCTGTTCACGCGTCAGTGCTGAATGTGTGTGAACCAGGAATCTAATGAGTCTTAATGAACCGCAGTGCTAATGAAGACACGCGGGATTAGCAGGCTAACTGGAGTGTTAGCGTGTGTGTGTTGGCTCTTGTGTGTTTTAGCTTGTGTGTGTATTAGCATGTGTGTGTGTTAGCTCATGTGTGTATTAGCGTGTATGTGTTAGTGTGTGTGTGTATATATATATATATATATATATATATAGCTTGTGTGTGTATTAGCATGTGTGTGTGTTAGCTCATGTGTGTATTAGCGTGTATGTGTTAGTGTGTGTGTGTATATATATATATATATATAATGTTAGCTTGTGTGTGTATTAGCATGTGTGTATTAGCGTGTATGTGTTAGCAGCTATCTTAGCGTATTAGCATAGTGTGGAAAAGTGAGGAGACAGCTCTAAGTGACTGTGAAACTCTGCAGAGATAATTAAAGTCATGGTGTGTCTCAATTTAAAACAGGCTCAGGTTAATGTACATATATAATAAAGTAAATTAAAAGAAATTTCACTGACACAATGAGAAAATGTGGGAAATGAAAAATTACAATATAGCAATATTGAGTAGGCATGTATTAACAATAATACAACATATATTTTTTTAAAAGCTGTCTAAAGAGAAGTCCACATTGTACAGTTTAGTGCATTTCTCTGGGTTCGTTAACAATATTAATTTAGGATCCAAAAATCAAACACACAGTCACATATTTACATTTACATAATTTATTAGTCATTAAGAAACTAGCCATTAAATAGACTTAGACTTGACAAACTTTATGATCCACAAAGGAAATTATTTGGATACATTAGCTCACACCTCACAATATATTATAATTCATTTATAACAAAGAGTAGTACATTAGTTTAGTTAGTTTATGCATTTAATGAGACAGGGACAGTGCACAATATACATTAACCTTAACAAGAAAGATGCATTGTACCAGGTTGTAGCAATTTCCACCTGTAGGTTCATTGATTGATTGTATTTTATTTGACATTACCTATCAGCTATCAGCTATTCTTCTTGGAGACCTTTGTAGCAGGTTTTGGGTTGAGGAAAAAAAAAAAAGGTAATAAGAAATTCAAAATAAGTAGCAAAAAAGATAGCAAGAGAGTGGTGTAAAATAAGGCATAATTATATCAATGTAAATGTACAAGTAAAAAAATAGAATCAAATAAAATAGAAATAAGTAAAAAAATATATATATATAAAGTTTGCGCTATTCCACTGTTATTTCCTCTAAAACAACCTGTTTATTGTCTGTTGGCAGTGATTTCCAACATGCGTGAGAAACAGAGGCTATTTTCTATGTGTTTTCCTGTAGTTCTGGCTAATAGAATTATAAATAGGATATTGTTTTGCTTTTAAAATACCATGACAAGACTTTGGTGCAAATCATTATTGTCGTGGTCCCAAGAATTAAAGCAATGAACATATTTTTTTATGTTGTCTGCACTGAAATGGATCATGGCCTGTGTGGTTTGCTATGTTTATTAGCTGTTGCTACTATAAAACCATGCATTTATGCAACAGAACTTGTAATTCAATATATAGTGACAGTTCTCTATATTATTGTGAGACTTTTGAGGATATGATATCACGATATTTCGGTTATTGGTACATTTCTAGTTTTGATGCTGGTTCTGGATATTTTATGCCAAAAAGGAAAGAAGATCTGACAATTTGTATTTACTGCCTTTGAATGAAGTGGGATGTTTTTACTCGAAAAGCACAACAGTAAAAGTACCTGTTGGCGACATCTATTCAAGATCTAGACCCACTAACTCACAGAAACAGTAGTGCACCCTGTTGTATCATAGTTCTCATTGTCCCTCTGTCTCGTCCTCAGCTCTCCCTCTGCAGTCAGACCAGATCCAGTGTGAGAAGCTGAAGACTTCCCTCTCCCCAGACGACTCCGCTTTCACAGAATTGTCTCCTAAGAGCGACTCCAGTGCTCGCACAGACACGAACACCAGAACGGATGTGTCCAGAGGAGAGCCCGCCCCCTGCACGCCAGACCCCGCCCCCCACCACGCCAGAGCCACGCCCACCGCCCAAGAAAGGTACTGCACCATCCTCTGTCGATAACACAAAATCATCGATTTCTGCAGTATCGATCAACTCCTGGTTAGTAGGGGTCCAGAATACACACTTCTTTCTCTAATACAAGTTTGGTCACTGGTGAATCTCTCAGAGTTTAGATGGGCATGACTGACAGGTGGATTCAAGATGGTTCAGCCAATCAGGGACACTTATGGTCCATTCGTATCGGAAAAAAAGAAGGAAAAAAATCACAGGGAACTGAAAAACATGGCAAAACATGTAGAATCAATGAAGCGAAGGACTGAACTTTGTTCATCTGAGGTGAGATAAATATGATTTTATTTGAAATCTGTCACAATAAAAAAAAAAAAAAAAAACATTTGAAGTGTGATATATTGATTCTGATATGATAATACTGAACTGAATGTTCACTACTTCCTCAATATTAAAGCAGTATAATCACACTAAATCCTAAGACAAAAACAATTCACTTTTTTTCCTCATGTTGATTGCTCTCGATTTCTGATTCAGTTTTATTTTGTCTTATAAAAAAAAAAAAAACACATAAAAATGTCTTCAGTATTAATGCCTGAACAACCCTGAAAAAACAAACAATACATACTTAATCATTGCCATTTAAAGGAGCCCATATTACTCAAATTTCTGATCTGTGTTATGATGTTTCCTCGTCACAAACAGATCTGGATTTGTGTTTTTGTTACATTCAACACACAAGCGCTACATAATTAATTCTTCTCTCAAACAGAAAACACTTCCACTTTGTGATGTCATGTGGTGATACAGAATTGAATCCTATGAAATATAATGTTACCAGCAATATATAAACAGTACAAAGAAATACTAAAGTAGTTAGTTCAAGTATCTATAATGTGTCATGTAAGTTAATTATTGTCATATGAACCTAATCCTACATAAAAATGAAAAACAAAATCCTAACTACTGCAAATAAATAATGTGATAAATACTAAGTCGATATAGTAATGATCGTGATGGGCCTAGTGACTGATGAGATCCTTTGCTTCACATGCATCACTGAAGAAAAACATATTTGGTAGGACGAGCAAGTTTGGCTGGGCAAGACTGATATCCATCTGTATACAAAATACAAAGAGAGATCAGTGTGGATTGGCCACCCAAGCATTATTATAGGCCCCGTTTACACGTACACGGGTATTTTTAAACAGAGACATTTCCCTTCGTTTGTACACATCTTTTACATGCAAACAGCAAATTTGCCTCTGAAAATGAATCTTTCTAAAAACTTTGGCTAGAGTGGAGATTCTGGAAAACTATGGTTTTGCGTTTGTGTGTAAAGTGAGATCAACAGAGTTTTAGGCAGCTGAGGCGATCATAATCATGGAAGTCTTCAGAGCAGCAGTTGCATTTCTTGTTGTGCAAACACTTTTCATGTGTTTGCATTTGCACACTCAGCTGATGGATCATATCCATGACCAGAGACCAGTGAGGTCGGAGGTCAACAATTTTGCCACTTCTTTAACAGATCTGTGGAGAGGCGAGCCCACTCACTAATGCACGTTTTTCAAGGTATTTTTGAGTAATTCTTACAACTGTAATGAAATAAATGCTACAGGTTTGAGTCCCCATGCCCAGAGTCTTGGCGTAGTTATGACGGCGCTCGATGGTGTATTTATGCGGGTTGATGTAAATGAAAAATTTTGAAAACAATGCTGTGTGCACGATGTTATTTTGAAAAACGGAGGGTGTGAAATATTTGTTTCTCAACATACCGGCTATGTGTAAACGTAGCCTTACAATTATCAACAACAGTATGACCAAAAATTGTGAAATCCTTCACATTCTTCATTTTCATTTAGCACTTCACATTCAGGTTTACTTTTTTCAGTACAAATCAGCTTCATCCTTTTTATACATCTTCATCCCTCTTTGGCCTCTCTGTCGCTGTTCTGTATAAGGCCTTTGTGATTTTTTTCCCCTTTCGTTTCCATATTTATTGTTTTCAGTCTCTACAACATGTTTTGAAATGTCCATGTGTGTCAGATGCCCTCCTTGTGTCTGATGTCATCCTCGTGTGTCAGATGCCCTCCCTGTATGTCAGATGCCCTCCCTGTGTCTCTGTGTGGTCTTATTCTGTGTAAAAGCTGCTAACCCTGTAGTTTAGACCTCTCCAAACATGTTCTGCAGTTCAGATTTCAGTCTCTTCTCAAATAATGATGAACGCAACCGGTTTACATACATATTCCACTGCACACCAGCACTGAGGAGGGAGGAGGAAACAAGAACGACCCGTCTCCATGGCGACAGCAGCCTCACGGATTGGTCGAGAAGCACGGCATACATTTTACAGCATCCTCCTCCAGCCTCAGACTCTATGCGCGACACTACCGCGGATCACCACAGGAGGCAGGCTTTCAATGAGCCGTAATCCAGTGTAATACTCTGTACGTCTGTATCATGTTAACATCAGTGTAGTGTGAAAAATAAGCTTAAGTCTGTCTTCTCACAAACGTCTAAGCTTTTTCTAATGCAATAATCTTCGTATTAACCCTATAGTGGCTCGTGAAAAGGTTATAATCCGGGATAAGTCCATTTGTGAGGTGGAAAAAGCCTAACTGACACGATGGAGTGTTAGTTTAAAGACGCATTGTGTAGGTTTCTGGTGCAGAGTCCGTCAAACGCTTTTCTCCGTGGAGTTGTTAGTGTTTGTTTGGAATGTTTCACCCTATGGTATTAAACCTTTTTATCTTCATGGAGACCAAACCAGACCAAGTTACAGGTCAGATCTGTGGAGAGGTGATCCGCTCACAATCAGAATGCCTGTTTTTCGAGATATTTTTGGCCTATAAATCCACATGTAATTGAATAAATGTAAAGTAGAGCTGTTTAATGTCATACTGTGGAACATTCCAAGCAGAGCAATGACGTATCAATAGAAACAAGTAAGTGACGGACCCGCAACCAAAAAGTTACACAGTGCACCTGTATTTCGCTAAAGTTTTCAAATTTCATGGGGTTTGGTCAATAATTAACCGAGATATTGAGAAACAAAATTTTTGGCCCCATTTACCACAATGTTAACTGAAATTTCAAAGTGATCCAGAATCCAGGATTTCTTCCGGATCACCCCCAAAATGAAATCAGTTCTTCCTTTTCACATTTCCAACAAATCCTGAAAATTTCATCAAAATCGGTCCATAACTTTTTGAGTTATGTTGCTAACAGACAAAGAAACAAACAAACAGACAAACGTCGGCAAAAACATAACCTCGGCGGAGGTAATGAAAAAACATCATGTAACATTTAATGCAAGATAGATACGTTTAATGCCATACTGTGGAACATTCTAAAGCAGCCATTCCCAAAGTGTGTGCCATGACCCCCCTATCAATGTGAAGATCACACAGGGCCCCCAAATAATAATTAACACTACTACTGTTTAAAAGAATATGCAATGCTTTTCCCCATAGATTTACATGTTAAATAATATATAATTATGCCTGTAGGTTTAATACTTATATAAAGTAATACATGTAAAGAAATATCTTATGGAAGCTTGATTTCAAACTTTATTCACTTTGGAAACCACTGTTCTAAAGCAATATCATCTCCTGGAGACGAGCAGGTGGTGGACCCCTGCCCAGAAAAGTTACACAGTGCACCTTTAAAGACGACAAGGGTTGATATACAAGCTCACATAAAAAAAAAAAATTTAAATAATTAAAAAAATATATCTTGTTATTAAAAATAGGACGAGACACAATTTCCACAAGATGAGACGAGATGTGAGACTGGGTCCATGAGAACGAGACAAGATGAGATTTTAACACTATTTCTAATATGTGCATTTCACGATTTAGTTTCCATTTTGGCCTCACATTTTTTCATTTATTTATTTGATTGAATATTTTTGTTTCCATTATAGTTCTAGTATATTTCTTTCCATTCTACTGTAACTCCCCAGAGCGTGACCCTTTTTTGTTCAATCCAAATGTGAACACTTCAATAAAAACTCATGAGATATTTTTTTATGTGTGCACGATCTTGTGACAATTTTGTCTCACGAGATCTTGTGGCATGAGATCATCCCTACTTGTTATTATTTACCCTGTGGAGCTCTCTCCCTCACTTTGTTCTGTGCATTTGAGAAACTACAATCCTTACTGACTCATTGAATAATAATGATACAAAACACTGACTTGTTAGTAGATAAAATATTAGTAGTTCAGAAACTATTCTACACGATTTTGACAAATGTGGTTTTACTGTATTGTATATTGTTTTATCTCATCGTTCTATCTTTTTTCTTTTTTCTTTTTTTTCAGAAATGACGTCAGAACAGAGACAGAAACTGGCCAAGGAGCGGAGAGAAGAGAGAGCCAAATATATCGGTGAGAAATATACGAGAAATACACAATCTACTCTAACCCTCTCTCACCTCTCTCTCTTCTCTCTTTTTCTTCATCCCATCTCTCAGTCTTTCTCTCCTTGCACCCCCTTCACTCTGTCTATCCTCCTTTTCCTCTCCTATTTCCATATTCTTACCTCTTTTTTGTCTTTTCTCTTAATTTCTCCTATCTCCCACTTCTCGCTTCTCTCTTTTTTGTCCTCTCTCTCTCACTCTTATCTCTTTCGCACCACCTGGCGCTCTCTCTTTTCATCTTTTCATCCTGTCTTTCACCCCTTTCTCTCACCTCCCTCTGCCCCCCACTTTTCTATCTCTTTCCTCCCTCACTCACCCTATCTCTTTTGTTCTCTTCCCTTCCACTGTCTCTCCTCTCTTTCTTCCCCCCTTTCCTTTCATAACACCAATTCTCTCCTCCCTTCTCCCCCTCTTTCCTCTCGCTCTCTGTTTCCCTTCTTGCCATTTTTTTCTTGTCTTTTCCTTTTTCTCACTGTCTGCTCTTTTACATCTCTCATTCCTTCTTTCTATTCTTCCTTCCTCTCTCTCTTTCCTTCTCCTTCTCTCCCCTCTGTCTCTCTCTAACCCCTCACCCTCTCTCTCTCTCTCTTCCCTCCATCCCTTTGACCTTCTTCGCTCACAGTTTTTATTGTGATCTTGTCTCTTGTTGCATGGCTTTCAGAACAACAAACTCAACTCCAAGGTAAGGCTTAACTTAACCAGCTCAACTAAACTTGGTTCACTGGGGAGAAATCAAAGACGGCCACTCTTTGATTTCATCCGCTCCCAAAATCATGCTTTAATTTGACCCATGAATCATATTATTTTTGTCTAATTCTGTGGCGTAATTTCATTTTTGCTTGTGTAAAGTTTCATTCGTGATTCTTGCATGGCCCATTTTAATGCTAACGGCTTATTTGTTTTGGTGAAAATGGGAAGAAATCTCCAAACTTCTGATCCACCAATGTTGAACCTTCTCGTTTTTATTTCGATCAGCTTCACAAACTTGTTTTAAAGTTCTTTCACCTGACAACACTCATGTCTTTGGGGTTGAATAAAGGGACAACATTCTGATGTGATTGTGAAAGCATAATTTGACTTTTTTAAATGTAACCTGACCGAGAAGATTTTGAACTTTGTGCCACTTTTTATTTCAGCTTCAGTTCAGTCCAGTCCATAGTTTTTGTGGATAGGCCCAGTAATAACAGAGATAAGAACCATAAACCAGCTCAACAAATCTGCATCTTACACTTACACAGCAAACTCCTGACCTGTCTCCAACTGTACTCTGCAGCTGTAGGCACTGCCGGGACAGATCTGTAAAAAGTCCAGTCCAGAACGGGGCCGAATGGGGCCAGTTGGAGCCGCCGCAGCCCCCTCCCTCGGTCCTCAGTTTCGAACGCAAGCTGAATTGCACGGAGCCCTCACTTTTTTGTTGAAAATCAAACAAAACTCCCAAACAGGACCATGCACGCTCGTATTTATCACAGGATCCTGAAAACACGCTGTTTTAATCCATGTGTGCATTTTGTCTCCATGGTAACGGCTGAACGTTTCACCGTAGACACACACGTAGCACAATGTCACCACAAAGTATCAGCAAAGATTCTTCCATGTGCTGATGTCGCCTGAACACTAAGAAAACCTATAAGTTGAAATAGTGTCAAATACGGCTGAAACTACACAGTGAAAGTCCACGTTTGGGCGTATTCTGTAGAGAGACATTTATAACTGTAAATGTCTGGAGTAAAATGAGTTGTGTCCAGGCCTCTGAGGCTGATTACAGATAATTACTGCTTTCACTGGAGCGCAGACACAGAGAGCAGAGCCTCAGAGGATACAAGCAATATATGAAGCTTCAATAAAACTGAGATGTATTAGCAGACGAGGTGTTGTTAACAGTAGGGATGTAACAATATCCAAATCTCTAGGTATAATATTTTCACAACATACATTTATTACCATATTATGTAGAGGCAGAACAGAAATGCGTATATGTTACTTTTTCTTTTTTTAAATACAACTAATTAAGATAAGAATTAAGTTACTTTTTCATGCAGTCTGCACTGAAACGGAGCAAAGGATCATGGTCTATGTAGTTCCTTCTGTTTTTTTGCTCATAACAATGAATTTAAGCAAAGAAACTTGTTATTTCGATATACTGTGACGGACAACGATATTATTGTGAGACTTTTGGCGATACGATATCACAATATTTCGGTTATTTTTACATCCCTTGTTAACAGTAGCGGATGCCAAAATTCCAATATGGCCCATGAAAATTGTGAAAAGTGATTAAAAAGCACTTATGGATAATTGCCAAGCTAGAAATGCGTTGGTTGAGTGAGGAAAGCTTTTGGACCACTGCAAAGAGTTTAAAATTTACTTCGCTTTTGATGTAAATTCAGGTAAAGCGGTGTCAGTGTTGTAGTAAATATAGCTCCAGCTTTCTCACGTTTCTGTCCTGACCTCTTTGCCAGTTGAGCTAAAGGTTTCTAGGTTTAAAGTATATATAAAGAACAGGAATTAAAGTTTTTACTAAAAGCACTCCGCCTGATTTTGTCTTAAAAACATGAAAAACAGAACTAGTTTGCAGTGGTCCAAAGTTCTTCCTCACTTAACTTATGCATTCTGAGCATAACAATTATTCACCGTGATGAGTTTATAAGCACTTTTTACAACTTTCAGAAGTCCAAGCAACAATAGCATGCTAACACTAATGCATTTCCTGATAATTTGAGAATAAAACTCTAACTAGATGCAGACAGAACACAGCAGACTTAGTTTGACCCCAAGAGCTGCTTTTACAATATATCTGTACTGAGATAAAAACACATGTTGCTCAAATACGTGGAAAAAAAAAATCAGGTGCAGGCCCTTTTCACATCACCGTATTTTCCGCACCATAGAGAGCGCTCATAGGCCTCCAACCCCATCAAAAAACGACTGCGCGCCCCACAATCCAGAGCGCCCTATACACGAATCCACTCGGGTGTCCCAGCACGACTTCAGTAAACTACAAAGCCGCACCACCTTGCAGCGCACTCAAACACACACGGAGCAGACAGCGACCACACAACAAAACACACCCACAGACACACTCATCACTCCACACCGAAAGCGAATCCAATGTGCCACTTCTAGACACAACTGAGCAACTGAGTCACTGCGAACACGCCAAACAAAGTCCCACTGACCCATCCAACTGTTGTGTTTCCTTTAATGTCCGGTGCAGTTTATTTGTGAAAAAAGTTTGAAAAAAGACCATTTAATGACAGTGCGCCTTATAATCCAGAGCGCCTAATAGTGTGGAAAATACAGTATGTAAAATCAACATTGAAAGTTAAAACTAATATAGTAGTTATTAGAGTCATGTTGGAGTGTCGTTTTACGTAACACTGCTACAGGCAAAGCTCCAGTCCTGTCCCCGCTAACAGTTTATGTGAGCAGCTTGTGCACAGCTTTGGAAAGTGTGACAACATCAACAATACAAGTTGTAACGCTTGGAGATGAACACAAAAGAGTCTGAGGAGGTGTTTAGTGAGTGAGTTATGGAGAAAAAAAGTCCAATTTGTTAAAATGTGACAAAAGAGGAGAACAAAAATACGGATTTGCTTTTACACATTTGTTATGGTATAGTGTTGTTTCCTCATCACAAACAGACCTGGAGTTGTGTTTGTTTTGTTTACACAGGGTTAACACACAAACCTGCATATTTAGGCTCTCAAACTCTGTCATGTAGTAATACAGGGAGTGTTTTTAAACTCCTTACACCTTCACTAGAATCATTTGGATGATTTTAGATCCAGAATTGACAATCTCTACTGAACTAAACTGAACAGTCTTTACTGAACTAAACTGAACAATCTTTACTGAACTAAACTGAACAATCTACTGAACAAAACTGAACAATATACTGAACTAAACTGAACAATCTCTACTGAACAAAAGGCAAAAGGAGCTTGGAAACCTCCCACTACATGACATCACAAAGTAGAACAGAACATTTTGAGCTTTGGACATGTAAATAAACTAATAATAAAGGCTTACTCAATGAATGAAACGAAACACAAGCCCTGGTATGTGTTTGAGGAGGTAACAACATTATAACATGGGTTAGGGTCCATTTTGTTTAAAGATCGTTCTGTGCGTTCGTGACATCACACATCCATGTTCACACCATTTAAGTCCCATTTGTTCACTGTGTTTTCATATGAATCATGATGTCAACTAGACGGATATAAATGAGTGTTTGTGGAGTCTCAGCTGGAGACAGTGGGAGCTTCTCTTATTTAAACACTTTCATTGATGAGTTGAAATGATCCGAGGAGAGAAGCTGCTGCTGTGAAACCACAGGAGCTCAGAGCTTCAGAGATATCAAGCCAAATGTGAGTGTGTGAGGGAAGAGGAAGGGCTGTGAATGAAGAATAAACCAGGATTTAATGAACTAGGACTAAACAAGGACGAAACCAAGTGGATTTAAAACAGGAGTAAACTAGAACAACAGGTCTAAACCCTCATTCAAAATAAGGACTAAATTAGATCTAGACCAGTATTAAAATATGGTAACTTTCAGTGAACACTTAAAAATAGTCAAGTGGTTATTTCTGCTACAGGACAGAATTGCAGCCTTTTATACACAGTCATTTGGGTGCTTTGCATTTATGTCCAAACCACAAAGCTGCCCTATTATTGACCCAATGACTCAGATCATAGAAGTGGGAGATATCAAGACAGATTCACTTGAGTTTGTAATCTTACAAATATTTCATGAGATAAAAAATACTGTATAAAATTGGACAGAACCCAGAAATGGACTAAACCAAGTTTAGGAGTGGAGAAGATTTACAGCTAAACTTTTAAACATTTACGTTAATTTGTTCTGATATTATCTTAGAATTTGTTTCTATTTAAATAAACATATGTGTAATCCTTTTCTATTTTGTTGTTTATTTCAGCGGCAAAGAAGGCGCAGTGGTTGGAGAAAGAGGAGCGAGCGAGAAGACTGAGAGAATCCCAACTGGAGGAGAGGAGGAGGAAACTGGAGGAACAGAGAGTCAAAGCAGAAAGGAGGAGAGCTCTGCTAGAGGAGAAACAGAGACAGAAACTAGAGAAAAACAAGGTAAGAACCGAGGAGAGAGAGGGATTTTTCAGCACACGTGTCTTCTGTATAGAATGTACAGGGTAACATTGTGCATTCTCGTGTCAGTCATAATCTGAGGGATTTCTGTTGTTGTATTTTTTTGCTTTATGGTCATTTGCAACATGGTTTTCTGTATTTTGGCTAAACAAATGAGAATTTATGCTCCTCTTTTTGGTTGGCTGGGATCAGAAAAAATTTTGATAGTCCTGTTTTAGACCTGATATAGTCCTGGTTTAGTCTTACCGTATTTTCCAGGCTATTAGACGCGCTCTTAAGCCTCCAACCCCATCAAAAAACAACTGCGCCCCACAATCCAGAGCGCCCTATATACGAATCCACTCAGGTGTCCCAGCACGACTTCAGTAAACTACAAAGCCGCACTTCCTGCAGTGCACGCAAACAGACACGGAGCAGACAGCGACCACGCGGCCAAAAACACCAACAGACACACTCATCACTCCACACGGACGAGGAACGGAACAGAGGAACGAACCAAAAAAGCGAGTGCAATGTGCCACTTCTAGACACAAGTGAACAACTGAGTCACTGCGAACACACCGACAATCTGTTGGTCCCAGACAGCACCCTCCCTACACGCCACAACTGAACAAAGCCCAGAGTCACTGTGAACGTGACGAAACAAAGTCCCACTCACCCATCCAACTGTTGTGTTTCCTTTAAAGTCCGGTGCAGTGAAAAAAGTAAGAAAATAGACCACTCAATGACAGTGCACCTGATAATCCAGAGTGCCTAATAGCCTGGAAAATATGGTAGTTTAGTCCTAAAATTTTATCCAATTTGTCAAAAATAGAGACACCTGGGACATTTCTTGTATAAAACTGTGACAAATCACTGGTTTTGTATAAATCTACTGGGACAGGGGACACAGGGCTCTAAACTGGGACTGTCCTGGGTAAATAAGGACGTCTGGTCACCCTTCCGCTGTACCTTGTAGTTAGGTCAACGTAAAAGGGTGAAAGAGGCAGACATCAGGCATCCTACGAAGGGCAGTCCACAGCCAAAGGGAAAGTGCATGGAAAAAAATAAACGTTGCCCAAACCCTGATTGTGTTTCCTCTGTCTCTGATATAGGAGCGATATGAAGCAGCCATCAAGAGGTCCACTAAGAAAACCTGGGCCGAGATCCGTCAGCAGAGATGGTCCTGGGCCGGAGGACTCAACCAGACCTCCAGACGAGAGAGTGAGTCTGTGCAAGACTAACAGTAGACTAACACGAGACTAATGCAAGGCTAATATGAGGCTAACATAAGACTAACATGAGACTAACACTACTGTTGTTTCTCGATTTGGCACCCAGTCCAATTTGTCACTTTTGTAATTGAATCTGTTTAACTCTTTTAAGCATGTTTATTCTGTGTTCTGTCGCTGTAGCCACAAGTATTCTTAATCTTAAATGTATGTATCAAAGTTTGACAGTTTCACACAGTTTATTCTTAGAAACAGAAAGAAAAACAATTGCAATTTGACCTGAATCATCAGACTTTATGCAGCTCAGTTCTGTTTTCTAACGCTTAAATACAGAATTTTGAGCATTTATCGATACAACAGTGTGTATTTGAATGAATCTAAAAAAATCATGCATCACGCTGGGGGTGTTCTACATGTATCTCTATAGTGAAATGTTCATCAGTAGGGCGGGGTGTCATTAAGAAGTTGCCAATACGATACATACCTCGATACATAGGCCACGATACGATATATATCTTGATACAGTGCAATTTTGATTCGATTCAATATATTACAAATCGGTTTGATACAATTCAATAAAAAACAAAGGCTAAATCATGGCTCTGCTACAAAAAGTCTTTGTTAAACCACTTTTTTATGGAAAGTTAATAAGAAACACACCCATTTTAATCCTCAAAACAGTGAAATGTCAAATGTGTTGCATAAATGAGTTTCCTTCTTCTAAACAAGCAACAAAACTGTAGCTGTAACAAAATAACTTGGTAAAATATACCAAAAAATACTTGACACCGCAGCCCCTGATATCAATATTGTATCATCACATTAAACGATACGATATATCCATATTTTGATATTTTTGCTCCCCCTGTTCATCAGTTACCATGGAGACACATTGCACATATTGCACATAGCAAACACCGCCAAAAAGTCTTAAGATGGTCTGAAAACTCAAGAAAAAATACAAAATAGATTCAAACACACATTTTCAGGAACCTGTGATCAATACAAGTGTTCATGGTCCTGTTTAGGAGTTTGATTTTTCAACAAAAAGGCGAGAGTGACTAGTAATGCGATTTGAGAGCCCATATCAACTCACTTTTATAATTCCAACTAAGTCAGTTCTTTCTGGTCAGATTGTGTTAAAAGAAAACTCAGATTAAAGTCTAACTCGAGTAACAGAGCTTCAGACAGAGCAGAGCCTTCAGTTAGCATCACACCCACAGGGAATGTTGATGTGATGATGCTTTGCAAAGTACATCAGAGCTTGCCAAAGATCTGGGCGTGCTCAGTATGAAAATGGTGCCAAATCGGGTAATAACTGCTATCTCGACTGTACCCTACTGTAAATCCAGCCAAACATGAGTAATATCTGTTTTGTACTAATACAAGACACATGTTTGAACTTCTACTTCTGGAATGGTCCATTAATCGCCAATGATGCAAGAAGGAGAAATCTAAATCGTGACGTGTTTGGGAGCGGTGGACGTGACTTTCATTAGTCTAACTGTGTGAACGGAAACAAAGAGTTACCAAAGACCTGTGAAGCTATTTAGAACGACATTGATTCTGTGCGGCTGTTTTATTACACTAATATTGTTTGGTTTATTGCTCTGTACAAGAAAGGTGAAATAGCTGTGATCTCTTAGTGTTTCTTTGACAGCTTTCATTTTGTTTGTAGCTGCTGGATTTGGTTTTTTACAGTTCAGTTGTTGAATGAAAGAGAAAGATGCAGAAGATCAGCCTAACCCTAACCCCCCAAACCCCTCCCAAGTCCCTCCTGGTTTCCACTGGGTCAGTAAAAGTCCATTTGTCTGGTCGTTATTATTACTAGAATTATTGGATCTACTGTAAACACAAGTCGGTCGTTGGAAATCGCATTCCAAATACGAAATGAGCATGTTGGCATTTTCGGATCCAGCGACTCGGCCCAATTGACTTTACATTGAAAAATTGTCGCCCCTGTCTCTGTAACTGCAGTGAGTCTTGTCATTTTGACCTTAAAATGTTCCTATTAACCCTCTCTACACGATCCTGGTGGTTTTTATTATGCAGTTTTGTCCATAAATCAATCCCTTTCCCACATTTAACTGCTTTCTTTATACAGTCTATGTTTGAATCCCACTCCCAACATAAACGTCATTGGTAGAGTGGTTAGATCCACTGGCCCACAGGTTGCCGGTCCACTTTCACCTCCCATGAATGAATGCTGTTGTTGTGTCCTTGGGCAAGACACATAACATATAATAACTACCATATTTTTTGGACTATAAGGCGCACTATATTATAAGGAGTAATATCAATAATGTTGAATTCTCTCATCTCTTTTCATACATAAGGTGCACCGGATTATAAAACTAGATTATAAAACATTAAGCGAAACAAAACAGATAAGTCAAATTTTATTCAACTCATTCACAGTAACTGTCAACATTGTTCAGTTGTAAAACATAAAATACAAAACAACACACTTACTTTTTCAGTTCATTCCTCTTCCACAAATACATCAAATTCTTCATCTTCAGTGTCTGAGTTTAACAGTTGGGCGATTTTGGCATCAAGCCCAGATCCCTCTCGTCATTATCCAAGTCTCGTCGCTGTTCATCACTTCACTGTTCAGTGATGATTCTGGCCTTCACGAAAGCTTGGACGACACTTGAGACTGATCCTTAGCCCAGGCGTCCATGACCCATTGGCAGATCGTGGTGTAACTCGCCCGCCGTTGCCTCCCTGTCTTGGTGAGTGGGTATTACTCTGCGAGGCTCCTGACTACGGCAGCCTTAATGCTCTGACAATCCATCAAGAGGTGCAGCTTCGTAGCGTTACCAAAGTCATGCTAAAACGTTTTGACAGATTTCTGAGTGCTGACCACATAAAATCCGTTCGAGGTCAGTAAGCACAACCAGAATTCATACATAAAGCGCACCGAATCATAAGGCGCATTGTCAAATTTGGAGAAAATTTAACGATTTTAAGTGTGCCTCATAGTCTGAAAAATACGGTAGATGATTAAAACTTTTTGAAACCATTCTTTAGGTTAATTTTCAAAAATCTTGATCACTTGCCAGAAAATACTTAAAATGACCCATTCTGACCCACCAGTGGAGTCCTCCTCCCTTTCCTCCTGCTCTCGAGCCTAACCTTCTTCAAGTCCTCAGCAGAAGAAGTGCCCCTGTCTGCACCTGTCTTTTAAAGAGCAGGTGCAGAGTGTGTGTGTGTGTTTCGCCGCCCCGGTGGTTGAACAGCTGTGTTGCATTCTCTGGTGCAGGCCGATGCTCCTCCTCCACAGTGAACCTCCCTCGTACCCAGGACCCTGTCATTAACAACAGGCTGTCCAAGTCCTCCGCCACCCTCTGGAACTCCCCCAGCAGAAGTAAGAACAGAAGCACAACCAGAGCCTCAGGGGCACGAGCGGACTACAAGGAACATAGATCACAGGAATAGTCAGGGAATAGGGCTCCAAAATTAATCACAGTGAAAGTGAAACTGAAATTTGAATGGATTTTTGAAGAAGCTTTATTTCCTCCACAAACAACAAAATCTCCTGTCTTATTCTGCGTAAAAATCTGTACAAACATGTTCTGAAATATGATTCTTGTATTAGTTTGTCAGTTCAGATTTCAGTCTTTTTGTCAGTTCTTCTGGACAGGTTCAAAATGTGAACTTTGAACAGAATCCTAATACTAATTGGACATAATACGCAAATCTAACCGCAATCACAATGCTTGTTCAAAAAAAAAACAAAAAAAAAATCACTCAAATTGTTCAGTATTATCTGCAGACCCCTTTGAATTTGAAATCTCATCTCAAAGTGAGTAAAAGAAATCAAATATGTTCAACATTACAAATGATTTGCTATACTTTTATAAAAAATATGATTTCACAAAATGTTTTACCAAAAATATACTCAAGTAAGATAGCACTGTTACTTTAAAATAATGTTTATCAATGTTTACGTAGGTTAAAAAGTAGGCGTTCTAAAAATGAATCCGTATATCTAACCCTCTATAATGTGGAATTAGTCTAATCTGTAATGTGCACTTTAAGATAAAGTAGACTCAAAACAAAGAAAAACACAAACATTTGGATTGTAAATTAATACTGTCTTAATAAAAAATAAACACATTAATAAATAAGAAAATGAATAACAAAGTCATATTGTCAACCTAAAGCTATCATGTAACAAAAATATAAGGAGTAAGAGTAAAAGTACTGTTATAGAAATTAAAATGACTCACGTAAAAAGTATGGCTCTCAACACTGACCACCCACCACTTGGTTCCGAATGTAAATTTCCCATAAATTGTGGTTACTAAAGACCTCAAATCGAATTTAAAATCTTTATTGACTTTAGAAACCACAAAGTTGGCAAAACATTTAACAGAATTTTCAGTTAGTTGTAGTTTTTTCTAACAGAAAAAAACAAAAGTGCATGATGGGCACATAACTGGTTGGCATGTCTTTAAGCTCGCTAACTCTTTCCCATAGACTTTAAAGATGCACTGTGTAACTTTTTGGTTGGGGGTCCGTCACCTGCTTGGATATGTCATTTCTCTGTCTGGAATGTTCCACAGTGTGACATTAAACAGCTCTTCTTCACATTTATTCAATTACAGATGGTTTTATAGCTCAAAAAATGCCTCGAAAAACAGACATTCTGACTGAGAGCGGAGTCGCCTCTCCGCAGATCTGACCTGTAACTTGGTCTGGTTTCCATGAAGACAGAAAGATTGAATACCATACTGTGAAACATTCCTGACAAAGCAATAACATCACCATGGAGAAAAGCATTTGACTGACCCTCCACCAGAAAAAATGACACAATGCACCTTTATGGACGTCTATGGGGAAAACCAATGGGAAATTTCTGGAACTACAGTCGGCTTTCCAAGTGTGCAGGACTGTTGAGCTTTATAGAATACATAAACTACACTAAAAGTCTAAATTTATAGTCTCCAAACTTCCTGGAGCAGCTTAGTTCCAACTCAGTATTGT